ATGGCTGAGTAGTATTCCATTGTCTAAATATACCACAGCTTTATCCATTTACTGTTGATGGACACTTAGATTGCTTTCCATACCTTGGCTGGTGTAAATAATGCTGCTATGCATATTGGGGTGCATGTGTCTTTTCAAATGAAAGTTTTTGGGTTTGGTTTGTTTTTTTTTTATATATATGCCCAGGAGTGGAATTGCTGGGTCATATTATAGTCCTATTTTTAGTTTTTTGATGTACCTCCATACTGTTTCCCACAGTGGCTGTACCAATTTACATTCCCACCAACAATGTACAAGGGTACTCTTTTCTCCACATCCTCCCCAGTGTTTGTTGTATGTGGTCTTTTTGATGATAGTCACTCTGGCAGGTGTGAGGCGATATCTCTTTGTGGCTTTGATTTGTATTTCTCTGATGATTAGCAATATTGAGCATCTTTACATGGGCTTGTTGGCCATCTGTATGTCTTCTTCAGAAAAATGTCTATTCAGTTCTGCCCATTTTTAAATAGGGTTGTTTGCGTTTTTTTTAATATATTGAGTTGTATAAGCTCTTTATATAATTTGGGTATTAACCCATTATCAGTCATATCATTTGCAAATATCTTCTCTCTTTCAGTAGGTTGTCTTTTTGTTTTGTCAGTGGTTTCCTTTGCTGCTCAAAAGCTTTTAAGTTTAACTAGGTCCTATTTTTTTTAAATGAATTTATTTATTTATTTATTTATTTATTTTTATTTTTGGCTGCTTTGGGTCTTCGTTGCTGCATGTGGGCTTTCTCTAGTTGAGGCGAGCAGGGGCTTTTCATTGCGTTGGCTTCTCTTTGTTGTACACCATGGGCTCTAGGTGCGCAGGCTTCAGTAGTTGTGGCACACGGTCTCAGTAATTGTGGTCATGGACTCTAGAGCATGGGCTCAGTAGCTGTGGCACACAGGCTTAGTTGTTCCACGGCATGTGGGATCTTCCTGGACCAGGGCTCAAACCCATGTGCCCTGCATTGGCAGGCGGATTCTTAACCACTGCGCCACCAGGGAAGTCCTAGGTCCCATTTTTTAATTTTTGTTTTTGTTTCCTTTGCTGTAGGAGACAGGTCCAAATAAATATTGCTACAATTTATGTCATAGTGTTTTCTTCTATGAGTTTTATGGTTTCTGGTCTTACATTTAGGTCTTTAATCCATTTTGAATTTATTTTTGTATATGGCATGAGAAAATGTTCTAATTTCATTCTTTTACATTTAGCTTTCCAATTTTCCTAGCACCACTTATTGAAGAGACTGTCTTTCCCCCTTGCATATTTTTATCTCCTTGTTCATAGATTAATTGACCATATGTGTGTGAGTTTATTTTTGGGCTTTCTATTCTGTTCCATTGATCTATGTGTCTGTTTTTGTGCCAGTACCATACTGTTTTGATTACTTTAGCTTTGTAGTATAGTCTGAAGATACCTCCAGCTACTAGTTTGGGAGTGTGATACCTCCAGCTTTGTTCTTCTTTCTCAAGAATATTTTGACTATTTGGGGTCTTTTGGGTTTCCATAAAATTTTTAAATTATTTGTTCTAAGGACTTCCCTGGTGGTCCAGTGGTTAAGATTCTGTGCTTTCAATGCAGGGGCATAGGCTCAATCCCTGGTCAGGGAACTGAGATCCTGCATGCCATGTGGTGCAGCAAAAATAATTAATTAATTAATTAATTAATTTGTTCAAGTTCTTTGAAAAATGCCATTGGTATTTTGATAGGGATTGCATCAAATCTGTAGATTGCCTTTAGTAGTATGGTCATTTTAACAATATTAATTCGTCCAATACAAGATTCTTCCCATCTGTTTGTGTAGTCTTCAGTTTCTTTCACCAGTGTCTTATAGTTTTCCAAGTACAAGTCTTCTACCTGTTTAGTTAGATTTGTTCCTAGGTATTTTATCCTTTCTGATGCAAATGTAAATGGTATTATTTCCTTAATTTCTCTTTCGTTCATTTTTTTTTTAATTTTTATTTATTTATTAATTTTTGGCTGCACTGGGTCTTAGTTGCCGCACGTGGGATTTTTCGTTGTGGCACATGGGCTCTTTGTTGCAGCGCACGTGCTTCTCCCTAGTTGTGGTGTGCAGGCTCCAGAGCACGTGGGCACAGTAGTTGCAGTGCACTGGCTGTCTAGTTGGGGCACATGGGCTCAGTAGTTGCAGTGCACAGGCTTCTCTAGTTGTGGCATGCAGGCTCCAGGACACACAGGCTCAGTTGTTGCAATGTGCAGGCGCTCTAGTTGTGAGCCCATGGGTTCTGTAGCTGTGGAGCACAGGCTCCAGAGCATGTGGGCTCTGTAGTTGCAGCACAAGGCTCTCTGTTTGTGGCACGCAGGCTCAGTAGTTGTGGCACACGGGCTTAGTTGCCCTGCGGTATGTGGGATCTTAGTTCCCTGACCAGGGATCAAACCCACATCCCCTGCATTGGAAGGTGGACACTTAACCACTGGACCACCAGGGAAGTCCCCACTGATAGTTCATTGTTATTGTATAGAAATGCAACAAATTTCTGTGTATTGATTTTGTGGCCTTCAACTTAATGAATTCAATGATGAGCTCTAGTCGATTTTTTGGTGGCATCTTTAGGATTTTCTATGTGTAGTATCATGTCATCTGCAAATAGTGACAGTTTTACTTCTTTCTTTCTGATTTGGATTCCTTTTATTTCTTTTTCTTATCTCATTGCTGTGGCTAGGACTTCAAATACCGTGTTGAATAAAAGTAGCAAGAGTGGGCATCCTTGTCACGTTCCTGATCTTAGAGGAAATGCTTTCAGCTTTTCACTGTTTTTTTAAATTTTTCTTGAGTATAGTTGATTTACAATGTTGTGTTACTTTCTGCTGTACATCGAAGTGTATGTGTATATACATATACATATATCAACTCTTTTTTTAGACTATTTTCCCATATAGACCATTACAGAGTATTGAGTAGAGTTCCCTGTGCTATATAGTAGGTCTTTATTAGTTATCTATTTTACATAGAGTAGTGTGTTTATGTCAATCTCAGTCTCCCAATTTACCCCTCCCCACTTTATCCCTGGTAACCATAAAATTGTTTTCTATATCTGTGACTATTTCTGTTTTATATATAAATTCCTTTGTACCATTTTTTTAGATTCCACATATAAGCGATATCATACAATATTTGTCCTTCTCTGTCTGACTTACTTCACTCAGTATGACAATCTCTAGTTCCATCCATGTTGCTGCAAATGTCATATTTTGTTCTTTTTTATGGCTGAGTAACATTCCATTGTATATATGTACCACATCTTCTTTATCCATTCCTCTGTCGATGGACATTTAGGTTGCTTCCATGTCTTGGCTATTGTAAATAGTGCTTCTATGAACATCGGGGTGCATGTATCTTTTTGAATTATGGCTTTCTCCAGGTATATACTCAGGAATGGGATTTCTGGATCATATGGTAACTCTAGTTTTAGTTTTTTAAGGAGCCTCCATACTGTTCTCCATAGTAGCTGTACCAATTTACATTCCCACCAACATTCCCTTTTCTCTACACCCTCTCCAGCATTTATTGTTTGTAGATTTTTTGATGATGGCCATTCTGACCTGTGTGAGGTGATACCTCATTGTAGTTTTGACTTGCATTTCTCTAATAATTAATGATGTTGAGCATCTTTTCATGTGCTTTTTGGCCATCTGTATGTCTTCTTTGGAGAAATGTCTAGCTTTTCACTGTTGAGTATGATGTTAGCTATGGGCTTATTATATATGGCCTTTATTATGTTGAGGTATGTTTCCTCTATACCCACTTTGTGGAGAGTTTTTATAATAATTGGATGTTGAATTTTGTTAAAAGCTTTTTCTGCATCAATCTATTGAGATGATCTTATGATTTTTATTTTTCAATTTGTTAATGTGGTATATTACATGGATTGATTTTCAGATATTGAACCATCCTTGCATCCCTGGGATAAATCCCACTTGGTTATGATGTTTGATCCTTTTAATGTATTGTTGGATTCAGTTTGCTAATATTTTGTTGAGCATTTTTGCATCTATAGTAATCACTGATATTGGCCTCTAATTTTCTTTTTTTTGTGATATCTTTCTCTAGTTTTGGTATCAGGGTGATGCTGGCCTCATAGAATGAGTTCAGAAGTATTCCTTCCTCTACAATTTTTTGGAATAGCTTGAGAATGATAGATGTTAATTCTTCTCTAAATATTTGGTAGAATTCATGTGTGAAGCCATCTGGCCCTGGACTTTTGTCTTTTGGGAGTTTTTAATTACTAATTCAATTTCATTACTGGTATTTGGTCTGTTCATATTTTCTATTTCTTCCTGGTTCCATCTTGGGAGATTGTACATTTCTAGGAATTTGTCTATTTCTTCTAGGTTGTCCATTTTATTGGTGTATAGTTTTTATAGTAATCTCTTATGATCTTTTGTATTTCTGTGGTGTTGGTTGTAACTTCTCCTTTTTCATTTCTGACTTTATTGATTTGGGCTTAGTAATAACCTTTAAATTCACTCATGTTAGGGATCTTCATTTCTCTTCAACAGAGCAAAACCCCACATCCCTCTGCCTGAAAACTGAAACCCTTCAGTCAGAGACACCATATGATCTCCGGGACTTACCTCCCCAACTTTGCCTCAAAACATCCCCCCTCAGTAAAACTATACATTCACTTCACTGCTTCCCCAACAAGGGTCTTCATATCTTTCCTTCAGGATAAGCCGAACTCCAGGAAAACTACTAACAACAGTTACCCCCCTCAAAGACTCAATGTTGCTTTGATCATGCCCACAGAAAACATGTCATCCCTAATCAGTCCTTCTCCCAGAGACCTCCAGCCCCCATTCTCATCTTATTTCCCCACCCCCCTGTCCTTACTCAGGAACAGAGAAGCCAAGGATGGAGAAAAGTAGAACCTTAATTACAGGTGACTGAGTGTGGCCTTCCCTCAGCATTTTCTCTCCCAACAGAACTTTTGGCCTTGTGGCTGGACAGATCCAGGATGTGTTCCTCTAGATCAGACCAATCCCAGCACCATGAACAGAGCAGGTCCTTTGAAAAAAGCCCCAGGAAAGATAGCCAGAAATCAGAGAAGAACTCCAAGGTGAGGTGATCTGGAGGGGGCAGAGGGGTGGACCAGGGGACAGTGTAGGGTGGCTAGATTTCTGAGGAGAGGAGGTCAGAGGCACTGGGAACAAGGAGCAGCATGTCACGAGGACATCCAGAGCTTCCCACCCTCACTCTGTCCTTGCCTAGCATCCCTGGGTACAAGATATGTGACCTTGTACTGGATTGGTTGACTCTCCGTCTATTCCAGAAGGTGAGAGGAGAGGATGCCATCAGCCTTAAGCACCTACTGCATGCCAGGTGAGAACCTAGGCAATGTTACCCATGTTCTGTCAGTTAGCCATGACATCAACCAGGAAGGATTATTATCTCCAGTTTACAGATCTAACATGGAGGTCCTGCAGCCAAGGAAGAGTTCCTGGCTGAGTGTCAGACATGATTAGCTGAGTCATTGCTAGGATTTATTCTTCTTTCTTTTCTAGGCTTTCAAGGATATTTCCAAATACTTCTCTAAGAAAGAATGGGCAGATCTGGGTTACTCAGAGAAAACCACCTATGTGTATGTGAAGAGAAACTATGACATCATGACTGATCTAGGTAACAGGAAGTTCTGCGTCCAGACAAGGCTGGGAACAAATGACCATCCCTCTTTACATGCCATGGCTTCTTCTTAGGCTGTGGCAATTGTCCCACATTTGTCCTTTTGTATGGGAAGAAATCCCAGGGCAGCTTCCAGGCATTCTTCTCTTTTACTGATATGTCCTGTGCAAGGCTGTGGACTGGGAGTGGCCACAGAGATGACCTGTCCTGGATCCTGTGCGTTTCTCTCCCACTGGCCCTGATTCAGAACCCACCTCCCCCAGCTGATTAGCTTTACTGTTGGTGCTGTGTCCCAGCATTCTACCCTCCTCTCAGGTTGCCTGTTAAGAAACAAATATTTTGCATCATTCTAGGTCTCAAGGCTACCCTACCAACTTTCATGTGTCCTAAAAAACGAGCCACAAAATCCAACGAGCATGATTCTAAAGATCAGAACCCCAGGAATCAGTGTAAGTAACAGGAAAGGGTCTCCTGAAGCCTGTCTACTTTGGGGTCCAGATGGGGAAAGACTCTCAGGAGTTTGTTCCCTCAAAAGCATCATGGTTGGGCTTCCCTGGTGGCACAGTGGTTGGGAGTCCGCCTGCCGATGCAGGGGACACGGGTTCGTGCCCCGGTCCAGGAAGATCCCGCATGCCGTGGAGCAGCTGCGCCCGTGAGCCATGGCCGCTGGGCCTGCGCGTCCAGAGCCTGTGCTCCACAGCGGGAGAGGCCGCGGCAGTGAGAGGCCCGTGTGCCACAAGGAAAAAAAAAAACACGGTAAAAAAAGCATCATGGTTGAGTGAAAAATGTTGGATGCAGAAGGTTAAGCACAGTCAGAGGCCATTCATATAAAATCCTAAAACATGCAAAACAAGAATATATATATTGTATGGCTAGTAAGTACATGGTAAATGTATAAAAACCTGAATGAGAATAAAACCCATCAAATTCTGGAGTGAAGAACTAGAGAAGGAGGGAGGGCAGGGATCAGTGAGGGCCACACAGATGGCTTCAGCTGTGACTTGTTCATAGTGCCTTGTTATATTTTTAATAAAGAGCTCAGAGTGATCTGAAGTAGTTGTGAGGTAATGTTGAAATGCAGCTAGACTCAGTAGTAGATGCACACATTTACAGTATTATTCTCCATAATTTTCTGTATGCTTGAAACATTTCTTTTTTTAAAGGAGCTAGTTCTTGCTAAATACCATTAATGAATCACAGGATGATTAAGAAAAATTTAAAGTGTAAATCTACCCAAAACTTCTAAAATAATAGGGCATAGGTATTGGATAACTATCTTAAGAGAGAAAGTGATTAACACATTATGTAATGACATGGCTATTTCTCTGTGTTTTTTACCAAAACCAAATAGTTGTCTCACTCCTAATTGAACCTGATTCTATGTGTTGAGTTTGAGAGAGAGTCTGAGAGAGCAGTCCTCTGCACATTGACCTTTCCTACTTGTCAGTGAGCAGAGGCAATGTAGGGTTAAAAAAGTGACAGATTCTAGTTATCTTTGTGAATTTCAGCAGTGTATGTACTCACTTAAAAAGGGGATAGGATGCATTCACTTGCTCTTTTGCTCTGACAGCACAGTTGTAAGAAGACAGGGTCAGAATGTTCAAAGTGTCTCCAATAGACCTTTGACTCTCCAGCTAAACAGGACAGATTCCACAAGCTCCCAAAATTACTGTGAGAGGACTGAAAATCCAGTGCTTGAGTATCTACAAAGTTTTTGACATTTAAGAGGTGTTCTTATACTGGAAACATTCCAGAACCACTGGATTAAATCATCCATGGTTCATCACACACTTAACAGTTTCATTGAGGCATACTATAAAATTCACCATTTTAAGTATACAGTGATTTTTGGTTAAAGACCAGTCTATTTAATTCTTTGGGGAAACAAGTAAAAAATATGTAATGAATAGAATGAGGCAGTGATGGGGTTTATTTCGCTTTTTATAAATCATCAGAAGGAAAATTATGAATTGATGCTGCAAATAAATGCATAAACCGTTATAATTCAGAGGCTTGTCTCAAAGTAACTCCTTGACAGTGAGTGGACTCATAACCCTCTGCTGCAGAATTCTGATACTACAGGAGTCTCTCTGCAGTTTGGGAATATTTACCAACAAAGAAAAATTCTGATTTGTCGCCCTCTTTTATTTTTATTTCTTTATTTATTTATTTTTTGCTGTACGCGGGCCTCTCACTGTTGTGGCCTCTCCCTTTGTGGAGCACAGGCTCTGGACGTGCAGGCTCAGCGGCCATGGCTCACAGGCCCAGCTGCTCTGCAGCATGTGGGATCTTCCCGGACCGGGGCACGAACCCGTGTCCCCTGCATCAGCAGGGGGACTCTCAACCGCTGTGCCACCAGGGAAGCCCCTGTCACCTTCTTTTAGATGTACCTGCTCAGGAGGCTTCCAACATGAGAGAGAGAAAACACCTGAAGGTGAGTGCCTCCCAAATCCAGAGGACCAGAGACTGTTTATCTCTCCATGGATGTGAATATTGGTAAAAGTGGGAAAATATTGAAAATGGACTGGCCCTCACTGCCTCCCTTTCCTGATCTCTTTATCACAATGCCTGATGTAGTATTGAGAGCTTAATAGTAATTAACAACAATTGTGATAGCTGATACTTCTTTTGTTTTCATAGTGATGCCAGATTTATTTTAGGCAATTCACATGGATTAATTTATTTAGTCCCTAAGAAAACCTCTATGACATTGCTACTATTATTATCCCCAAATAATAATGAGGATATTATTATTATTAAATAATAATAATAAACATGCGGATATTGTGGTATAGAGATGTTAAATAATTTGCTGGAGATCACAGTGGCAGTGGTAGTAGTCTAACCCAAAGCCCCAAACCATTTCCAAATTCGTGAATTTTTCATATGTTTCTGAAGCTCAGGCATTTCCCCTAAGGCTAAACTCGCAGATGCTGCTGATGCTTCTGTTTAGATGCCCAGTCTCACAACAGGAAGTACCAGCTCCCGTCTGCTCAGTCGAAGGGCCCCTTTCACATTGCTTGGGAATCGCCTGGACTGTTGGCCCCTCCCTTCTGTGAGCTCCTTCGGGGCCTTGTCTGCACCTGAGGCATCTCTGAAGCCTCAGTCCCAGCCCAGGGGGACCCTTAGAGGGTTCTTGGATAAGTTCTTCCACAATTGCAGATTAAACTCTAATTTAGAGGGTAAAGGGATCTGGCGGGTGGGTTGCCAGTGTGGACACGGTTGAGGAGAGAATTCAAAGAAGGATCATAAAAGAAAGTATTCATTTTTATTATTACCACGTTTAAACAGCATTTGTAAGCTCAGAAAGTTCTTTCACTTAGCTAGTTTTACAGTTACTGTTCACTGATTCATAAATGAGGGAGTTGGTTATACTGTTATTGCTCAGTGTTTCATAAACAAAGGAGCTGAATGAAGGTTAGCTTGAGGTTGTTGGTCAGTGACACACCCTGACACCAGTAGAATTGGTAGAGGAACCACCTCGCTTAATTCCAACTGAAATGTTCTTGCCAGGGTAGGACAGGATGTCACATCTGGCACCACTTTCTTGGCTGTCTACATGAATTTCAGTGAACCATTCCTTTCTTCTCCCTTCCCTATATTCATCTCCCCACACCATTTGCCAGCAGTGTTTTGTCCCTTCTGTGCATTGTTCCATTTACTCTCCCAGCAGCTGTCTACTAGCTTATATTCGATCCCTTATATTTTATAGAAGCCCCTCCTCACCTTCACAGACCTCGTGGATTGTTAGAGTGCTCTGCTTCCCCAAATCTTCCATGTACCACACTCCTGCTCACATGGAGACTCCTCTTGGCGAGAGTGTCTGGAAAGAATGTGAAGATAAGCATTCTAGTCCTGGAAACACCCTTCATGTAGACCATTCCTTTTCCTTCTAACTTCCCAGGTTCCTTGTAATTTAGGTACAGGTAATATAATGATCTCCCAGACTTGTTGAGAACTTTAATTAAGGTACTGCGCACAAAGACACTTTGTAAGCTCTAAAGCACTCAAGAAATGCCATTGATATTCTTTGTATGTGACCTTCACATTTAAAAGGTGATGCCCAAGAAGTCCAAAAAGAAAAAAAATCCTTCGAAGTTAGTACCAGTAACATCAGGCTCAGAGCAGGCTCAGAAACAGCTGTGCCCCCCGGGAAAAGCAAATACCTCTGGTCAGCAGAAAACATCAGGTAAGAGGAAACTCTTTGGGCAACTCCTCTGGCTTCCCTGGCCATGTTCAAGTGCATGGGCTAGGTGTGGGAGATGGATCCTGGACAGGCCTGGGGCCAGGCTGGGCTGAGGAGCTCACCCAGCTCCAGCTGAAACATTAGAACTGACTTCCAGGGAATTTCCTGGTGGTCCAGTGGTTAGGACTTGGCGCATTCATTGCTGGGACCCAGGTTCGATCCCTGGTCAGGGAACTAAGATCCCACAAGCTGCATGGCACAGCCAAAAATTAAAAATAAACAAAATGGGGCTTCCCTGGTGGCACAGTGGTTGGGAGTCTGCCTGCTAATGCAGGGGACATGGGTTCGAGCCCTGGTCTGGGAGGATTCCACATGCCGCGGAGCAACTAGGCCCGTGAGCCACAACTACTGAGCCTGCGCGTCTGGAGCCTGTGCTCCGCAACAAGAGAGGCCACGACAGTGAGAGGCCTGCGCACCGCGATGAAGAGTGGCCCCCCGCTTGCCACAACTAGAGAAAGCCCTCGCACAGAAACGAAGACCCAACACAGCCAAAAATAAAAATAAATAAATTAAAAAAGAAGGCTCAACATTTTAAATAAATAAATGAATAAATAAACAAAACAAGACAAAAAAAAACTGACTTCCAGAGTCACAGATTTGAGTTTCATCGATATGAAAGCTGTGTAACTCGGGGCAAGCCTTCCAAATTCTCTGAGCTCCAGTTCCTATTCCATAAAATGGAAATAAAGAATCAGAGTTCACAGGTTATTCAAAGGTGTTCAATTCGAGGGACTTCCCTGGCGGTCCTGTGGTTAAGACTCCACGCTTCCACTGCAGGGGGCACGGTTTCCATCCCTGGTGGAGATCCTGCATGCCGCGCACAGAGCAGCCAAAAAAAAAAAGTGTTCAATTCAGTCTACAAGCCCTGATGCCATGAAAGGTGCTCAGGTCATTATTCCGTCCGTGATAACCTGGGAACATATCTTACTCGGAGTTTTATCCCCACCTTCAGCTCAATGCCTGGCACACAATATGCCCTTAACAAATACGTGCTGAATGAAAGAAGGTCGGAATAAATATTCTGGTGAGTAAAGAGGTTGGGAATCTAAACCTGGCAATGGAAGGAGCCAGAAGCTAAAACTCTAACTGGCGTTTGGTGTGTATTGGTGCGGGTTTAGTATCTCAGCCTCTCTGAGCCAGAAGGTGTGGGAAAAAGACTATGTAAAAGGCCTGTGGTCACTTGGGAGGGAGGAGGCATTTCCTTATCTGACAAAACAGGGCCCAACACTCCCTAACCCACCCAACCCCCATTTACCAACTCTTTTCCACCACAGGACCCAGGAAAAGGGAGATTAATGTCTGGACCCACAGACTGCGGGAAAGAAAGAAGTTGGTGGTCTATGAAGAGATCAGTGATCCTGAGGAAGACGACTAACTCTGTAAGTGACCTTTCAGTCCATCCCCACATCCCCGCAAAATGCACTGTTCTCTTATGGTACTTGTACCCCATCTTGTTGCTTGTTGCCAAATCATTCCTTTCTCCCTCTCCCTTGGGATGCAGCTCTGAGGCTAAATGAGGAGGTTTCCTGTGCTTTTTCTACTCCCTGCTCTGTATATCCAGAGATCTTCCCTCCCCAGGATGCTGTGGGCTCCCAAACCCCAGGTCATATACTGGCGTGTAGGCCACACCTTCCTCTAGCCTAGAAACTCATAGGACAGATGAGGGAGTCGCTGTAGCCTGAGCAGAAGTTTGGCCTTTAGGAGCAGCGGGAGGAGTGCATAGACCACAAGGCAAGGTGGAATCGGAGTGCACAGGGCTATGTAGGTCAGAGTTAAGTAGTGATTTTTCAGTCAATGGGAGCTCACCGCCACTTATTTTCCTTCTCTTTCCGTGCCTCAGCCTCGGGGATGTGACAAGTGCCCATGATAAGAAGCAGAACCTGGGGGCCTTTCATGAACATGGGCATGGCTGTGAACTCCTAGCCATCAGCTGTATAGCAAGTGAAAGAAAGAGTTCACAACAGTGAAAAGTTAAACATGATTTTTCTTACTATGTGCCAAATGTTGCTAGATGTTAGAGTTGCGTTGATGAGCAAGACATATACCTAATGTGTATTTCTCTCTTTGTATCTATGCATCTACCTTAAAAAAATAAGTATTGTCAAGTATTCTTTGTACAAAACGGCACTAGCCTCCCTCTCTCCAGATGCAACTACTGAGACCAGTTCTGGGTGTTTGATTCCAGATGTTTTTCTGCATTTACACACACACACACACACACACACACACACACACACACAGGGTACCACTATGAGCATCTCTGACCTGCTTTTCCCCACTAGCAGCGTGTCCTGGACAAGTCTGTCTCACTCTGTTTCCTGTTCAGCATGTGCTCCATGCTACAAACCTCCATTATTCATTTACCCTGCATCAGTCACTGACAATTAATAAATATTTACAAGTTTTTCCCAGTTGTTTGCTCCCATTCTTGTGCACACAACCCTGTGCACCTGTGTGAGTGTTTCTTTAGGACACGTTCTTAGAAGTGGAATTGCTGTGTCAAAGGGTTCACTCATCCAACACCTAATGGGTTTGTACTGTGTAATAAGGGCCATTCTAGGTGCTGGAGAGATGTCTGGGAACAAGATAAACAACTGTCCCTGCCGATGTGGAGGTGACAGTCTAGTGGGAGATGTTGCTAGTTTTTATTCTGATGGATGCTCTACACCCCAGTCCTGGGGCAGGATTCTGCAGGTGGTTGGACACCTTGGCCTTTGCTCTTTCTAAGATCTTCAGAGTCATGGGGCTGGGATCCATTTGGGAGTATGTGGGAGGAGACAGAGATAAAACTGTCAACTGGGGAACATGGAGGAATAGGGAAGGAGAGGTCCATTGTGAGGACCCTGGTGGACAGGAATGGAAGAGTCCACTTAGTCATGATTCAGGGGAGCAACAGATGGAAAAGTCCACTGGACAAAGGCATGAAATTGCCCATCTCACAACCAAGGGCTTGGGAGCTGGGATAGGGGTCAAGTGTTGAGAATGGGATAGTCCTGTCCCAAATGAACTGTTGCAGGCCACAGAGCTGGAACAGTCGGCTCTGGGGAAGGGAAGAGAGGAGTCTATTTTAGAAGAAACCATTGAGTGTGTTGGGGGACATTAAGGCTAACAACGGAGATCCAAGGTGACTTACATGGGACATCAAACACCAGCCCCAGATGGAGGCAGTGTTGCACCATTTTGACCATCCACTGCCCATCACCTCAGCCTCCTGGCTCTCATCCAGCCTTGGAAGGTCTCCACTCTCCTGCTGAGGCCTCCATCTCCCCTACCTCCACCTTCATCCCACCACTGGACCCAACCCCTCACCCCAACAGATTTGAATCAAAGGCGGGAGGAACCGTAAGCCAGCAGATAATGGGCTCCTGGAGAAGGGCAAGAATCAAATCTCTCCTTGGACTCTGGTCACTGTGACTCAGGTTGGAGCCATGGTTGCTGGGCCAGAATTGGGTCTACCCCCTCCCACAAACACTCTGTGATAGCTGCAGGGTCACAGATTGCTGTCCACACAGCAGCCCTGAGGCCAGGCCTGGGTCTGGGTCTCCTAAAGACCTCGGGGACGGGGGACCCTGCCCAAGAGGACCTTGCTCTGGGAGACTGAGAAGAGCCTCAGAGAATCACCACTCTGTGGAGCTCTAAACCTGGGAGTTGGCATCGACTGTGATAGACAAGTGGAAAAGGAGGCGTGCCCCTGGGTATGGACAGATGTGGACACCCACATAAACCCTCCCTGACCAGCATGTTCTGAGGCACAGCCTTCCTCACAGGGGTGACCCTCCCTGCAGAGCCAGCTCCTGGGGGCTGCATGGTGAGGGCATCCCAGTTTATCTGAGTCCCCACCTACTCCTCCAAGAATAATAATGTCTTGCCACTTAGGGTCATACCTTTGTGTGGACAGGTCCCAGGCCCAGGAGTCTGCATCCCAGGCCAGGAACAACATCTGCAGGAATGAGGGAGGTGTGGTCCGCTGGGGTCTCCCCCTCTCAGCCCACCTTCCATAATAACCATAGAAAGTACAATTACTGTTCATCTTATGTTTGCAAAGTGCCTGGGCTGATACTAAGCATCTCGTATGGATTCTCCTGTTTATCTCCACAACCAACCTCTGAGCACAGACACTATCATCATTATGATACTATAGATGTTATATACAGCTAGAGAGAGAGATTGTAATGAGAGATGGAGACACAGACAGACGTCCAGCTTCTTGCCAGAGTACCTATAGCTGGCATGTGCAGGAAGAGCTGAGTTTGGAACTCACCATGACTTCAGAGACACTAAGGAAGATAGGTATGTATTTGGGGAGTGGAGAGACTTGAATGAGCTCTGAGTTCTGCCCCAAATCTCAGGGTGGAGAATGTGGAGTCATTTTTCCAAGACAAGGAACCCTAGAGGTGGAGCGTGCCCAGAGGGAGAGGCAGGTTTGGTGGTAGTGAGGGCAGGGGAGGACAGAGATACACAGGGTGGGTGGAAGAGGGGCTGGCAGAGAGGCAAGGGAGACCCAGGGCCAAGTGTGGATTATCACAGCCATCGGCGGGAGAGGGTGCCAGGAAGGAGGGCATAAGGAGTCAGCTGGCTGGGGTCCGAGGTTCCCCAGAACTGTGAGGACACCCTGCCTGGCGCTGCAGGGAGAGGTGGGTGCTGCCCAGGTCAGTGAGGTCACTCTACCTGTGCCTCAGAGGAAACAAATTCTATTTTACCCCAGTGCTGTTCTTCTTTACTCAAATTTAATATTCTGCTAATAGACATTGTGTACCTTATTCTCTGTGCAAATACGGAAGAGGACATCCAAAAGAGATACAGAAGGATTTGATTTTTCTTTCTCCCAAGGAAGATGGGATCCACGAGCTGGATTCCTCAGCACAGGAGACGGGTACAGGGAAGGATGGCTTGAAAGCACTCTGGAGTCATGACAGGGAGCATTTTCCCTTAGGTTCCCTGGGTAGATACAGCTCCTTCCTTCCTTCCTTCCTCCCTTCCTTCATCCCTCCCCCCTTCCCTTCCTCCCCTCCTCCCCCTCCTCCACCCCTCCCTCTCCTCCCCTCCTCCCCTCCTCCTC